TCTGAGGACATCAAGGCCCATTCCCACCCCACTGTAACTCCTGTGTCTTCAACAAACTTGCAGCAGTACAGAGCTGACCCACAGTACATGAACTTTATTTAATTACAGCTGCCACAGAGGGCATGGGAGGTGCACAGCACTGGACAACAACTCGCTAAATAGCAGCAACATGACATTTCATGTTCAGTGGCAAGAGACACACACCTCTAACCTTAAGCACTCACGCTGAAGATCAGATGGGGTAGGAACCAAAGCATTTGCCATCCATGCTCAAAGTTGAAAGTTGCCTCAGAAACTGTGGTCCAAGTCAAAATTTCACGGCCTTACCTTACGTAAAGCAAGACAGCTGCTTTACATAAAGTTTTCATTGCAAAATCTGCCCTTAGGGGAGATGATTATGCAAGACTTAAGTCGAACAGTAGGAACGACCCTGAAGTGTTTTCTTTAAAGTCCCTGATGTTTTAAACTCTGACTGCAGGAAACCGCCCGGCTTCCAGTCCCCAGCAGAAAACCAGCTTCTGTGCTCACCAGGCAGATAAGCAGCAGCTTCTCCATACCGCAAGAAGTGAAGTGGCAGAAAAATCACAACTTCTGCAGTAAGTGTCCTTTCCCATGCTCTCCTGGTATCTCCAGTGCCACTCCCCACATGCGGGTACATTTGAGTGCAGCCTGAAGTTACCTAACATAGTCCCAAATGCTTTGGTGTAAAAAGGTGCTTTGGTTACCAGAGGACCTCCAGTTTCAGCCCTAGAGCTTACACATTGGTTTGGGATCCTCTGAAACATCACTAGAAAGCATCAAACCTGACGATCACAGGGCTAATAGATTAAAGAGGAAATAACAACAGTGTATCAACAGCACCAGCATTAGGGACCGCTGAGGAATTTACTGTGGGAGGAGGTGGGCCAGCACAACAGAAACGCTGGGAACACAGATGCAACGCACTGCACACAGCCTCCCCACCAGGTGTGAGTAGCAACATTCCTGTGAGAGCACTCATTCCAAGCGGAGTAATATTCAACGAGAAAAGCACAGGCAAATACATGCTGCATGCCCCGAGTGACTTGGCGCTGACTCCTGCCTGTGGAAGGACACTGGGCCAGGCGAGGACCCTTCAGTAAGGTCCCTGCAGGGCTCAGTGCTGCCTGGTCTTCCCCACTCTGACAGGCCCATCCTGTGCTAAGCTGACATCCCAGCTTTGCAGCCTGGTGCATCCCTCAGCCCCACTGCTCGGGTCCTGTTAGGGTTTATACTCTTTTTCTGTTCAGAGACAGCAGCACTGTAATTCTCGCCTTTGTGATTTATAACCTTCCATGTGCAGGTAGCTCCACTTTGAACACTTCAGCTCCAGCTGGCGTCTGTTTGGCCCCTTGCAGGTTCATGCCATGCTGTGACTGACCTTGCGTGATAACAGCAATCCTCTCACTACTCAGTGCTGGCTTTTTATCATTTGTTTACACCACAGCTTTACCTACACTTTTCATGTAGGTTTTACATAGTCTCCAACTCAGTTCTCCCTGTTGTCTGAGTGTTTGTTTGTTGGGTTTTGGTTTTGTTTTGCTTTTTTTTTTTAAGAAAAACAAGATACATTTGGGATTGAAGCTGAAGGCAGGATCCTGCAACTTGAGTGTTCTCTCTCCTGGGTACTGTTTTTGCACTGGAATTGCTGAACTGGGCAAGGAAATGGAAGAAAAAGACCCTGGACCTGTTGGCCACAGATGTGGGAGAATTCTGACTGAGCCACTCCTTGCAACAGCAGGGCCCTGCTCCTAGGGCTGCTCTGGGGCAGATCCATGATTCCAAGCCAGGGACACCAAGTAAGGGCAGGGGAAGAGGGACCTTTTCTGAAAAGCAGAGTCTGGGCTGAAAACACACCCCTCCTTCAGCAAACCAGTCTGAGCCAGCATTTACACAGTACGTGCAACAGCATCACAGCAGCATCAAAGGCAAACTACCTACTTGGACATAGGGAAGGGTGATACAAAGCAATTGCCTAGGAACTCCACACCAAGCACAAATTATTTCCCCCCTCCTTGGGACCTACTTGTTCCGTGCAACCTTCCAAAAAGCCCAGAGCCCTTCTCCCAAATTAAGACTAGAGACAGCGCTAGAGACATTGGTCTCCATGGACCACTGAGCAGGTCCTGAGGGCAGCAGCTAGGAAACCACCTCTGGCTCCATTCAGAACCAGCCCAGGCCGGGAGAACCACTAAACCTCTCCGTCCCAGAGCTGCTCCCCACCACCGCTCTCAGGACAAGCTCTCCTCTATCCCCTGCCCGCTCAGCCACTCCCAGCAGCAGGCTCTCGGGACTGGGAGCAGCTTGGTCTCCATCCCTTTGAAGGAGGGGGTAGGGCAGCCAGCAGGGCTCAATGAATAAAACAGTGTCGCCTTGCGGTTCCCTCAAGTTCCCTACGAGCGGCCCGGTCTCAGTGACGGAGGTGCCCGGCACGCCGGGGCTCCCTCGCAGCCCTCTCGGGGGTAGCGGAGACCGCAGGCGGCGGCTCCACTCGTGGAGGAGAGAAAGCAGAGCCCGAGGTTGCTCGGGGAGCCGGGCGGGAGGGCCCGTGTCCGGGGGGGGCGGGGGGGGGCCGCCCGCTCCGTGCCCTCCCGGCGGGCCAAGGCGCGGGGCAGCGCGGTGCCCGGCTCGGCGCCCCCCGCCTGGCCCGAGCGCCGACTCACCTGCTCCGGCTCGGCCCCCGCCCCCCCCGAGCCCGGGGTCCCGCAGGACGCGCTGCCCACGGCTCGGCTCCCTCGCGCAACCGTCGCTCCCTCGGCGTGAGCTCGGCACCGCGGCGCGGCTCGGCCCCGCCCGCCCCAGCGACGATGCACCACCCCCCCCACACCCCCCCCCCCCGAGCCGTGCACCGGCCCCCGTCCCAAGGAAGCCACCGCTCCCCAGGCCACCTCCTCCTCATCCCCCGCAGGGCCCCCCCCCCCCCCGGTGCCGCAGCCCCTCCCGGGACAAAGGGCCGCGGCTCCCGAGGCAGCCGCTCCTCCCGCCGGCCCCCGCCCAGCCCACGGCATCGGCATCGCTCGTGTCCAGCTCTGCATCAGCTGCCCCGCGGTACTCCCCGCGCAGCACAGCAAAGGCAACCCCCCCAGCCGTGTCCCCTCCCGTCCGCCCCTCTAGGTCAGGGATTACACCCACCCCACGGTGGGGCCGTGGCTGGCTGAGTTAGATCCCCCCGCCCTGCCCCAGGCAGCGCTCCGGAGCACCCTGGCTCCTAAGTGACGGCCGAGGGCTGCTCAGAGCAAAGGCAGGTCAAACGCCAGGCATGCCACATGTGCCCGTGCCTGACTCACAAGGACACACCACTGCTAGACCCCAGACTATTAACTTGCAACAGATCCCAGCACCAGGTCATCCCGGCACTTACATGAAGCCAGAATTTGCACAACCCCAGCCTGAGGAAGGAAAGCACTTTCTATTCCCATCTCTGACAGCACGTCAAGTCTCCTCACCTCTCCTCCAGCTTTGCCTCCTCTCCCAGCTGCTACCCCGTTCCTTCACCCCCCGGATAAGGGTGCTCGTAGAGGACAGCACCCACCATCATGCGCCCCAGCTCTCCATGGACCCACGGAAGCAGGACGACCCCCTCACTTGTGCAACAGGCACCGCAACGTTTCTGCATCGATACAAACACTGCTGTGACATGGGGTGAGGGTGTTCTGTGGGTTACAGCAACCCCAGTACAAGAGCACCGAGAACTCATTTAGGTTATTTGATGAGGACAAGACAAACAAAAATCTGGGTCATGCAGGAGCAGGAGGCAGCTGGGACTTGAGGAACACAGCTGGTGACAAGGGAGGCTGGGCAGCCACAGCCAGAAACATCTGTGCTGCTCTAGTAGCAGGACAGGGCTCCCAGGACAGCAATGTGTGACTGAGGCACAGGCTCAGCACTCCCGTCCCCACCCAACAGCAGGAGCCACGGAGGGGTGCAGGCCAGGAGGGGCAGTTAGCCCTCTGCCCCATGCAGCCACGGCTGGAGGTACATGGAGCCAGGAGCAGCATTTATTCCAGGCTGCAAGGGAGATGCTTGGAGCAGCCACACAGGCTCTTCTGGGTGAGGGTCCTTAAATCCTCACTGCAGAAGGATTAACCAGCCAGGGTAGTTTCCTCCAATAAGAACAAAATCAGGTGGAGCAAAGATGACTAGCTGGATACGGCAAGAACTTCGTTATAGGGTTGTTACAGACCCTCTTCCCCTGAAGCACCATAGATCCCCTCCATCAGAGCTGGCACAGGGCACTGACATTTGGAGAGCAACATCTAGCTGCTACAGACCACAAGTTTTGCCCACATCTTCCCAAGGCCCCAGACATAATGTCTTAAATCCCTTTGTACTTCTACATGACAACCGCCAACAAGGGAAGCAACAGAAATCCCTTCTCTCTGGGATGTCCAGGGGTCATGTTCACCACATGAAAGGTAGGTTCTGCAGATCACAAGATGCAGTTTCAAAGCTACTTCCTAGTACAGAAAGACAATGTTTAGACATAACTAGCTGTTAAGGTTCTTAACGGCTTCTAGATACCCGACTTTAAGAGTATTTACTGCCATCTTGTAAATACAGTTGCTAAGATGCAGCTGTACAATGAGAAACCATCTTCAGAAGTATCCTTCCACTGCAGCGCAGAATCTGAGAGCAGCTGGCTAGGCAGTTACTGCACTGAGATTCAGGGCAGCAGCAACCTGCAGAGCTGCCCAGCCCAGGTGTACTCACAAGTACACTTGACACAAATATACTCTACAACTTCAGGCTTCAAACTCCTCCTTCAAATCAGTGACCATTTCAGGCACATTTTCCTCACAACCAGCACCACAAAAACAGTGGGAATAAGCAGATTTGCATGTGGAATCAGGAGCTTGTCAGCAGACTGGAACCCCAGGGCTGTCAGTCAGGCCGTGATCTGCACACCCACAGCTCCATGGCTCCATTTCCTTTAGGGGAAACTGGGAAAGGGATTAACAGGGACTAAAATCAACTCTACTCACAGGGAAGATGTGTCAGTGATCTCAGCAAATCCAACAGGTCAGCCAGGCAAGTCCATTTGCGGGGCGAAGCTCCGATGACCAAAAGCTCATGTTAGGATGTGGATGCATCCCCAGTTACCTTGGTAGTCAGTCCCAAGCATGTGTCTCCACACTGCAGTGCAGTCTCTGCTTCAAGTATGGCTGGCCTGGCTTGCTGCCCAGCGAGCTACCCTGTTTTCCTTGCGCTCCCCTCCTGGCTCCTCCTACAGTGTCCATTAAGAGGAACATATTCAGTGCTAAGGTAAGAGAACCTAAGCTCATTTCTCCCCTTTCACTTCTCTCAGCACACAGACACCCCTTCACAGGCTGTGTACTCATGGGATGCACCCAGCCAAGCTTCACAGGGCACCCTGCTATGTCATCCTGCCTCACCTGTGAGCACAAGCACAGATCATTCTCCCTGCAACAAGCAACAAACAGCAGCCCTAGCAGCAACTGTCTGCTCTTACAGCTAGCAGGGAAGATACAAGCTGTCAAGTGATCATCAAGTGCCAAAGCAGAGAGGTGCTGCCGCTGTGCTCAGGCCCAACCCAGCTGAACAACACACAAGCAGCCCCATCACCACCAGCTGGATGCCTCAGTGGCCCATGCCCACATCATTACGGCAAATGAACACCAGGCAGGCAACCCACCAGGAAAACCACTTTCAAGCAGACACAGTGCCAGCAACAAACCTCACAGTATTGATGTCTGAGAAGCACCTGTATTACTCTGCCAACAACCACAAGACCAGCCAGGTGTAAGTGCCACTTACATTTTCTCTTGCAAGGATTTCCTTCTTTTGTCCAGGTGGTTTTCTCCTCTGGCAAGACCTTAAACAATGCCACCATCTCTCCCAGCTTCCTTGGTGCCCACAGCTCCGCCCAGGCCAGCATGTCCATGGCCCCCAGGCATAGCTGGCAGGAGTAGGGGATCTGGCATGTCTGCAGCAGCTCTGATGGACGCTTGCAATACCTTCCTCCACCCCTGCTTTCAATCACTTTAGGATTATCAAGGACCCTGGAAGGTTGTCAAAGATGTTCTTTTCTGTGTGCTTGCTGTCACTGAGGTAATAAAACAAAGGTCAAAGGGTGTCCCTAGAGGAGCTGAGCAGTCAAACCTCTCATCTGAAGCCCATCCTAGGACATCAAGTGGTTCTGGGTATTTCCAAGCCAGCCAGCAGCCATACCACCCCATCAGGAACTTGTGAGGTGATGGCTGCCTGTCCTGCATGCTGAAGGTCTCTGCAGGTAGATGTTGAAAGATCACTGACAGAACCACAGGTGTGACAGCCACAGCCAGGATTTGGTCACAAAACATAAGCCTCCAAAAGGAGCCTCTGGCAGGTGCGAAAGAGCCTAGCAGAAAAAGTCCAGCATATGGAAAATCCCTCTGCTGAGGAGGGGTGGGGACCCAGGTGCATTTCAGTGAATGCCCTGATCTTCGGAGAGCCACTTTGCTCCTGGGTAAGGGACCCCTGGGACTCTCAGCTGGGCCTGCAGACCAGAGCAAAGAGGAATAGAGACTTGAATTGGTCTAAGCACCTGCTTTTTTCAGACCCAAACTCCTAGAAAGTCCTCCAAGGCATGGCCTGACATCACTCTGTAGGTCATTCAATGCAATGCAAGATATTTGTTCTCTTTGTGCTCCTTGGGAGGTATCTTCTAGAAAAGACTTGTGAAATCACACTGCCTCCACCTGTTTCTCCTGCCTTGGACAATTTGGGGGCTCATTTGTCATTTCAGCCACATTCGACAGAAGGGTCAAGACCTCAGGGGTGCATGGTTTTGTGAAAACAGGTAGCACGTGGGGACGTAAGGCCCTGTTCATGCTCCCAGTGCAGGAGGTGGCTGTAGACACTTGAGAATCCACACCCCAGAGCGACTGCCTCAAGGTCCAGCAGTGGGAGAGGCTCTAATAGGAGCTTGCACCTTCTTAGACACCAAAACCAGCACAGCCATCTGAGTAGGGGCAAACATGTTGTCCCTTGGCACATTCCCAAGCCACAGGATCTGCTGCACCCTGTGCAGAAAGAGGAGAAGCCTGGACTCCAGGAGGAGCAGCACATGCAGAGAGACCCTCAGCCTCACCTCTCCTGCCTGCAAAATGTGATGCTTGCTGACTGCTCTGCACGATGAGCCTCTCATGGCAGGGATGGCCCCTTGGTGACCACCAGTCCACCCGCTTCTGCCCACATACAAGTTCCCATTTTCTGGCTCACAAAAATCACTCTTAGCTTGTGGCATCCCTGAACCTTACCCAGGGATGGACTGTGACCTCCTGCAAAACACAACAGCCAAGTGGCACTGAATCTGTCACATATGGCCCAACAATGGATTTAGAGGCATTGCCTTCAGAGTAAATTTGCAGCAACGAACACCTGGCAGAAGTGCACGGACCACTCAAGTTAAGAAAAGCCAACAATGAAAGTGCAATTTTTGGGGGGGCAGAACCCCTTCACCAGCACTCTGACACCATCCCAGGCTGCAGAGCAGCTGGATGGTCCCTCTAGTTCATGTCCACTCCTGCCTGCAGTGTGGAGCTGTGGGTCCCAGCAGCAGCCTGCCACAAAGTGCCACTGGCAGATCTGTTGCTCCCCAGAGAACTGATCATGGCACCTCCTGAGGCTGCGGTGTCCAGAGCCACAGCCTGCCAGACCCCACAGTACTGGTCCAGACAGCAGAGGTGACCCACTGAGCCGGCCTCACGCCCAGCTGGGCTCTGCAAGGCCCAGCCCCCAGCTCTCCCACAGCAGCTCACATCTCTGCAGCATCACAGCCACATCACTCCTCGGCTACCTGCCTCATGGAGGTCACTGTGCCACTAAACCTGACCTCCTGAAGAATCTTATCAGGAGGCTGGTGCTCTAACAACCACTTTGCACAGTATACGCGTGTTCTGCCTTGGCAAGACTGCACATGGATTGACGTTAGCACTTGGTCACCCAGCTGGCATAAACTGCACAATGCCTCCTGCATCGAAGGCTCAGCACTGCACCATGATGCTCCCAGGTCACTGCGCTCCTCAGAGACATGGGTTTTTTGTACATTCAGTGCTGCCATGCCCAGCTCTGGCTCAAAGCATCAGCCAGCACAGCCCTGGGAACATCTACCCAGTGCAGGGATAGGAGCAGCAAAAGACAAGGTCAAACCTTTCCTCTGATGATCACCAGGACAAAAAAAGATTTGGGTAAGCACCACCTCTGCAGGGAGGCCTCCTCCCAGCCAGACACTGCAGCCTTCCATATCACATCCTGTGCAAGCTAAGAGAGCTGCCCCACAGCATTTTCCTGGGCTATGCCATTTTTGCAATCCAGAAGAAATCCAGCTGCCACTCAAAAGGCATAGCTGCACCTTCCCACTGCTTCAGTTGCCCCTGCCCTCCACCCTGTGCTGGCACCAACTGTCTTGTGAGCCAGACCTGAAGACCAATCCCTCAGAAAATCAATTCAATAGGGAGAAAGGGAAAACATTTTTCAGCTGGCTCAGCTTCCTGGTCCTGCTCTTTACCCAACAGCATAAACCCATGCCTGGGAAGGACCATTACAAGCAACTGATTGGGGAGGGGGTGCCCTGTCTCCTTGCTCTGACCTAGGCATATACAAGACTGAGTCGCAGGTAACCTTGGCCTTGCTGCAATTACAGGGCCAGCTCCCCACCTCTGCTGCCTTTTTGGCCTCTGCAGTGCACAGGCCAATGTCCAATGCCCCCCTTTTTGAATCATTGATCACCTTCTGTATTTTTCTCCACTTGCTCCACACGCTAAAGCACAGGGACCTCTTCCAAAATAAAGCTACCATTTTTTGTCCCAGGAGATGCTTGCAGGCTGAAAGCATGGGAGAGGACACAGTGTCCAAATACACCATATCCTCCCTCTCAGCAAGACTGCTCTAAGTCTTGACGCTGTTCCATACTGTCACAGCAAGCAGCCAGAGGAGCATGGGGAAAGGGAGCCAGGTTCTGCCAGGAACCACTGCAGCAGACAAGGAGTCAGAGAAGCTGCACTCTCATTTGGCCACCACTCAGGAGTTACACAGGTGAACACTGACAGCCCTCAGTCTCAGCTGTGGCTCACCAGGAAGCTGAGTTTCCACCCATGGAGCCAAACCATCCCACTGCTGCCCCACAGAGCCATAAGCTGAGCAGCAACTGCAGGCCTGCTGGGGATGCCTTTGAGCATGTAATAGTTATTGCTTGATCTCAAAGGCACTCTGGGAATTTCTGTGAACGAAGATACACAGATCCTACTTCCTTCAAAGAGCGAAACTGAAGTTACACAATTACTACCTGCAAAGCTGTTTATGATTGACTATATGATTAACCCCTCTTCCTATTTTCAATATGTTTGAACATCCTATTTCCATCCCATCAGCTAGGACCAAGGGACCTTCACACCAGCCATTCTTTAGCTGACACAGACAGTGGAAACTGATCCACAGAAAGTCAGCACAGTGCCACAGGTTATTAGAGAAAGAGGTGCTGCTCACTGCTCAGTATAGACAGGACAAATGTCCAATCTCTCCACTTTCACAGGACAGGAACTTAGAAACAGAAGTATTTACATAATTTTAAACTAACAGACAAAATACAAATACATGACACCACTGTTTGGTCCAGAGGTCACTCCAAGCACCCCCTGCTCTTTCATCCCACCGTGGTGGGAGATTGGAAGGAACTTGTCCAGCTGGAGCTGCCCAGGGCTGACAATCTGAAAGTACCATCAGAGGCATTTGCCTTTTCAGTTTAGTACCTTTGGATAAGTTTAATATTATTGACAGGGGAGGGACAACAGACTATTTGTCTCTCTTTTCAGATACTGGAAAGCCTGTGGCTCTTTGTCCCATTCGCCAGCAAGTATTTTCATTGCTGAAGATGCTAAGAGCCTTTTTGAAAGCATTATTTTATTAGGAGCGGTTTACACAAAATGCCTTGGTGAAAAACCTTTCCCTCACCCCTGGACAAATATCTTTGCCCATGTCACCTCATGGATTTCCCTAACCTCTTTGTCAAGCTTGGCAATGTATACAAATCCTTACCTCTTCCCTTAAGGCCCTGGTTTACACACCTCACAGCCATTATTTGTAGCCTAACTCTGCAAAGCTCTTTGGGACAGAATTTAGGTAAGTAGTAGTCTAAAAAGATCTTAATTCTACTGCGTACAGCACAGCCTTCAACCTGAGCCCACACAGGACTCACTCCAAGGGCAAGTTTCAGCCTTTCTACTGCAAAAGCAAACAATTTCCTGTTAATGTTTTTAGTTTTCTTTGTATCAGTTCACATTTTAAACTAACATTTCTAAAGACTGTCCAGTGGTTTATGAAGTAGAATCTCCTACGTCACAGCCTTTTCCTCTCTGGGGAGGTGGGAAGAAAGTTCCTTGAGCCTTATCCTTCGCAGAAATAAACCTGTTCAGGAGCATCAAGCCAAAACAGTCTTAAAAATGACAGTCCCCCCAAAAAATCAGGGATTTCAAAGTCTTAATTTTAATGACACTTTATTGAAAGCACAAACCTGAGAGTGCAGGAAATTAACTAAAAAATAATGTAATTGAAATACTATTCAGAACTCCTCTGAGTATAGTATTTTAATTCTATTAAATTCATTAAGAAAGCATAATACTGTTTAAGTCATAATGCATTAAAAAATAATTTTTTTAACCAAGTGACCAGTCTATCAGGAATAAATCTTATGCAAGTCTCAGGCAAGAAGTAGGCAGGATCTCTGTACCTCCTCAGGTGGGAACCTGAGTACAAAATCAAGCCTAGAGAAGCCACAGCCAGAGCTCCTCACACATTCTCAGAGCCTGGTGCTATTCTGTCATCACACCAAGACAGACTAGACCTGATTTCCACCTGGTTTTGTTATCTTATGACCACCTGAACCAGACCAATCTCCCATGCTGTGGTTGCAAATAGTAATAGTAGACATGAAAATGCTGCTTTTACAGCTTCTCACCCATGACCACATCCTTTACATCTTCCTATAACAGCTCCTTTGCTCTTCGGTAAGCTAAACACATTCCTTTATAAAATATAAACTCCTACGATTCACAGACATCTTGTAAAGTGTCTGCAGCGTTTTGAATAAGATGACAATGTACTGACCCTCTGGGGTAAAACCAAGCCTTTTTTGCATGTTTATACAACACTTGGCATGAGATCAAGCTAGATCATAGGTACTGCTGAGCTTATTTACAGCCATACCAGCACGTTCAGCCCTGCCCACTTTACAATGCAAATTTGTCCATTCTCCTTTTCCTTCAGAGCCGCATGCCATTTGGGGTATCTGCTGTGGCCTCCCTCTGGAATGAAAAACCTAGAGAAATCACCCATTAAATAATTTCATGCTACTCCTGACTTGCTCTCAGAGCAGCATAAGATCCCCCTCTCTCCAGCATGCCCAATCAGAGGGCCAGAAGTGTATCACCACCATGGGCACATGCTCGTCTTGTCACACACTTAGCTTACATCCTCCTGCCAAGAGTGAGGCACCCTCCAGACCTCCTCTCCTCTGCTGCTCTCTCACCCACCACTCCTCACCAGAGAGGTTGACACAGGCAAACAAACCCCACTGTGAATCCTCACCCAGATTTCCTCCTGTGCTACATTCTCACTTCCCTCATCTCCGCTGGGTACTAAGCTGCACTGTCATGGCCCCAGTGCGTTGCCTGGGCTGGGCATTGACTCCTCCCCAGCTCTTTCTTCTCACACAAAAACATCGTGGAGGACACCTGAAGTACCACCACTTGTCCTTGCAAAGGGCAGCACCAATTCAGCACCAGCAGACAAATGCTGAAGAGGTTTGAAGAGCAGAAGCCATCATCAAGGCCAAGGTGGAGACATCCCGTCTCCTGCCTGGCAGCTCCCCTCGGATCTGTGGGGACAGGGTGGTGGCCTAGCACCAGCCATGAATCTCGCTGGCTTCCACGCTCCCCACACCCACGCCACAACCTGGGTTCCCGGAAGAGCCAGGAAGGCCAGTTAGCACAGACAGCGCACCTGCTGCCTGCAATAGCCAACAGCACGATGGGGAGCTGCGAGGCACTGTCTGTCCGCTCAGAGGGGGCACACAGGCCCCTGCCAGCCACCCGCGACCCTGCCTCCCTCTAGGCCCCTCACGACCCTGCCCTGCCCGAGCATCCCTGGGCCTGCACTGAGGCTCCTGTCCCGCCCCTGCGCCTTCCCCGGAGCCCAACCCCGCCTGCCTCAGCCTCTCTAGCCACGCTCCCAGACAGCGGCCCCGAGGAAATGTTCTTAAGCAACGTAGCGGCGCCTCGGTGTGCATGGCGCTCCCGCGGTCACGTGAAGGGGCGGCAGGTCGCCACGTGACGCCGAAAACGTTAGGGTCATGTGATCGGCTGCCCGCAGCTCTCAGGTGGGAGGCCCGTGCTGGATGGCGGCCACGGAGTCCTTGATGCTGCTGTTGCCGCTCCTCTTTCCGCCGGCCGGCGCCGCTCCCGGTGGGTGCCCCGGGCCGGCTGCCTGCCTCCCCCCCCGCTCCCGAGCCCCGCCACGGGTGGGATCCCCCCAGCCGGCCTCCCCGGGTGGGACCTCACACCAGCCTCCCCAGGCGGGAGCCCCTAAGCCGGCCTGGGGGGCACTGGACGGGTGTCCCGGGCTCCCCAGGGCCCCGGTTACCCCGGCTGGGCTGGGCGCGGCCGTACCGGGTGGCGGCGCCGGTGCCGGTTTCCCTGGCGCTGACGCTCCCGCCTCCAGCTGCCTGGGCAGGGGGACCCAGCCTGGAGGAGCGGCTCTTCCCGCAGGTGCGGGACCACTTCAGCTTCGAGACGTACGGTAACGAGACCTTCCCGCAGCGGTACCTGGTCTCAGGTAGGTCCCGGGGGGCGTGCTGCCGCTGAGCTGCTCCCAGCCCTACCGTGGCTGTGGCAGGGACTTGGTATGGCTTAGGGATGCATTTCTGCCTGCTTAAGCTTTAACTGCTCCTGCACTAAGGCAGAGAGCCATTTGGTGCTCATCTGTGCTAAGCAGCGAGGAGTCAGTTTGTACTGAGTGCTAGCCCTTTGTGAACCAGTCATTCCCCAGCACTGTCCGTATCCTTCTCTCCTTCCTTTCAATTTGTCATTGTGGCTATGGCTGTGGGGTGCAGCTGTGGGGATTGGCCTCTCTGGAACAACAGCAGACTAGAAGCAGCAGCTGTGTTAGGCTTGTACCAGGGCTGGCTCAACACACATGTGTCTAGTTGGCCACAGCATCTCTGACAAGCGCAACTCTGCTCTGAATACAGCAGAAGAAACAAATAGTGACCTAACTGTTGCACTCTGTACCCATTGTTTGTATGAGTGAAGATAGCTCCTCTTGGGTCAGTGTTTTGCATTATTTAAAACCCTGCAACTACAGATAGCTGAAGCCATGCTGAACTACGAGGGCTTCCAGCAGGGACCTGGCACTGTTTTCCTTTCTAGCTAAATAACGAGTTATCTTCTGTGCAGCAAGCAGTGAGAGAGAGGTGGTGTGTGACTAAAAAGAAAGCAATTTCAATAACCAACGTCACATGTTTTTCAATCCTGCCTGCTTGGAGGAATCAGGGAGAGAACAAAAGTAGAGCTGTAAATAGCTCCAGCCCAGGGGGCTGCCCAGCCTGGCACCTGCCTGCTGCTGCCTCACAGACTGCCTGCATCTGGGGCTTCATGTGCACCATCTCACCTTCACATCTCCTGTTATTCTGCAGCTTGTTCAGCACCTGAACCCAGTCATATATGTTTCACCAAGTGTGAATTCACGGATCAGTTCAGCCCAAAGATATGGGAATACCAGTGAATTTTGATAGCACACCTGGGGCTGAAATTTTACTAATTAGGTGGCCCTTTTGGAACAGAAGTTTGGGATCACCTGGCTTAAAGCACTGCATAACTTTTGTTTTCCTTTAAAAGTGTTATGTTTGATCTGAGTGTCCTGTGCAAAGCTGAGTAATATTTGTGAGAAACAAAACATTAACATTGCAGTTCTGCTGGTTCACAAATAGTTTCTTACTCAAAATTCCTGAGTAGTTCCATTCCCCTTTACTGCTTCTTGTGTAATACATGACTTTTCAGGTCATCAGCAAGAACTTGAAGGAGACTATTATTTCACAACCAGGCATCTGACTGTCTTGAGGTTATCTGGCAGTTCCCCAGGATTTCAATCTAAAAATAGATACCTTTTTAAGCAGCCTATCTGGTTAGTTCTTGGCTTCTGTGAATGGTTTTCTCCAGGAGCCACAAAGCATATAAGAAGAAAAGCTAGAGTGAAGGTGGCACTTCCATTTCCTACCTGGTACCCAAAGCAAATTCAACACAAAGAGAATTAGGCTCTTTGTTAACAAAGAGCAGCAGTTTCGCTAATGAAAGTTTTCAAACTCATTTCCAAGCCAAATCCTGCTTTGGTAAGTCTGTGTTGAGAATGCCAAGAATTAAATTCAGGCCTCTGTTCATGGAAATGGCCTCATATGACACGCTGCAGTGGTGTCTGTAGGATATCTGCTGTTGGAGGGTCCCTTTGCAACATCACCCAGTGTGTTGTAATCAACACTTAACTGACTTTCTGAGGTCTGTTGTTGAAGAAAGCTATTTATTATCCCTCATAATTCCTGTGCAGTTTAAGACTAAGTTAAATCGAATGTTTGTTAAAGTCGGCAAGCATTTAAGCAACTGTTTTAGTTAAGCAAGTATTGACATCATTGATCAGCTTCTCCTGCCAGTCTCAATTTGCCTTCAGTTATAAACAGATCAGAGGATGAAGCACATCATCTTGATATATCATCTCATATATATATGTGATATATCACATGAGATATATATGTGTATGTTACATATAGCAGCAGCATATCCTGGGCTACATCAAGAGAAGTGTGGCCAGCAGGTTGAGGGAAGTAATTCTTGCATTCTACTCTGCTCTTGTGAGACCCTACCTGCAGTGCTGTGCCCAGCTCTGGAGTCAACTATGCAGGAAAGACAAGGACGTGTCAGAGTGGGTCCGGAGGAGGGCCATGAAAATGGTCAGAGGTCTGTAATGAAGAAGGGCTAAGAGAGCTGGAGTGGTTCAGCCTGCAGAAGAGAAGTCTCCTGGGAGACCTTATAGTGGCCTTTCAGTATATAAAGGGAGCTTATAAGAAAGATGGAGAGAGACTTTTTACCAGGGCCTGTAGTGACAGGACAAGGGGCGATGGTTTTAAACTGAAAGAGGGTGGATTTGGATTGGACATAAGAAAGAAATTTTTGATTATGAGGATGGTGAGATATTGGACCAGGTTGCCCAGAGAAGTTGTGGATGCCCTGTCCCTGGAAGTGTTCAAAGTCAAGCTGGACCAGGCTTTAAGCAACCCGATCCATTGGAAGATGTCCCTGCCTATGGATGGGGAGTTGAACTGGATCATCTTTGAGGTCCTTTGCAATGCAAACCATTGTGTGATATGTGATTTACAGCTTGTCTCTACCTTATACATCACAGCAGGAGCAGCAGAAAGGTGCAGGCAATTCCCTAACGTCCATTTTGTAGAAAAAGTGATCTGTGCAAGTGTTTTGCGATGAGTTGGGCTGAAAAGGGTATATAAATGGGAAATCAGTCTTTTTGGGCCAGCTGTTTCTGCCTCTCAGAACTGAGATTTTGAGGATTTTCAGGCAGAAGTTGAAGTTCCAGGCCATATGCTGATCTCAGGGAAGCTCTTATTTACCCCTGCTCCAATGAGAGATATCTGTAGCCTGGCCTTTCTAATGCCTTTATGCCCCACCTCAAGTCTCATAGATCGGCTTGTTCACAGAGTTCTTCCATGTTAAGCTCCTGACAAAACTCACCGAAAGTAGAGTGATTTCATGCTCATGTGTCATTTTTTGTGTGTGTGTTGTGTTTTTTTTATTTGCTTCTGTCAATTGTTTCACTCAGCAAAGTTCTGGAAGAAAAAGTTTGGACCCATCTTTTTCTATACCGGCAATGAAGGTGACATCTGGACTTTTGCTCAGAACTCTGACTTCATATTTGAATTAGCAGAGGAACAGCAAGCACTTGTGATTTTTGCTGAGCATGTGAGTATTTTAGTCATTATGTGTACTAGAGAGTCTTGTTCTGTTCAGTGTTATCAAATTCAGCTTTCTGCAGGTCATGAAAAATAATATCTCTTGCCATGAAGCTGAGGTATACCTGCTGTAAGCTTTCTCCTTGTGGTAACAGCTCTTCTTTACTTAAGCATGGCTTCTAAATTTTTTTTACTATGCCTGCTGGCAATCCAGGATACAGACTATTGTTTCAGCAAAACCTGTGCCATGGTGTATTTGCTTTAGACAAGTGCTTTTGTAAGTAGTTTCCACAGACGTTGAACACCACAATGGATTAGAGCGTTATTTTGTTTAGACAGTATTTAATCTCCTTAGCTTGCGAAATCCCAAGCCAACCTTTCCCACACCACTCTATTAAATTTACTATTTCACAATTTATGCATGAAGAGATTACCCTGTTCCCTTTTCTAGTTGAGGATTTCAGGAGAGAGACGTGTGCTGAGGGCTCACTTGGCACCCACTGAAGTTGCTTGTCATGGACTGTCCATACTCTACAGGGTATGTCCTGAAGGTCTCTGTTTCTCAGATGCAGGAGACAAGGCACTTCCTCATTTATGAACAAGTTAGAGGACACCATGTGTTCTGTTATCACTTCCTGTTTGTGCACACTTATCCCAATTTTATGGTGAGAACAGGGACCTTGACACCAGCATTTCTGCAGCATATCTCTTTCTTTTCAGAGGTACTATGGGAAGTCTCTTCCATTTGGACTTCAGTCAACACAGCTGAAGATGACTGGTCTGCTTACTGTGGAGCAAGCACTTGCTGACTATGCAGTGCTAATTTCTGAGCTTAAGCAGCAGTATGGTGCTGCAGACTGTCCTGTCATTGCTTTTGGAGGCAGGTAAAGGTTGTGTGTGCTCCTTCCCTTCTCTGCATTCTTTACCACCCACATTAGTGCTGTTCTCATAGATCTACTTGGCTTTCAAGCAAGTTCTAACAGCAGAGCTTTAAGCTATCTGATAGAGAGCAGATGTGCCTATGCCTGAGCTCATCACCAGGTCCCAATCAGTTCTCCCTTCAAGAATTAGTCTTGATTTGTGATTGCTTTGGAGGTGGATGTTCCTAGGCATCTTCAATGTACAAGTCAGCCAGAACTGCAGAAAATGGGAAATTCCTCCTGCAGAATAAGAACATTTTACATTGGGAATACAGAAAACTAATAATTCGTAAAATATTCTTTCCAGGGAGGCACCCAGTTTTTTATTAAATGCAGCCTTTTTAACAACATCCAGCCATTTTCATTGTAGGCTCCTTTTTAATTCTGCTCTGTAATCCACTACATGGTTGTTCCTGGCTTCCTAGTAGAAGTCATTCCTCAAAGTACTTGCTCTGTTGCAGCTCAGAGCTGTGTTTATGCAATATCCTTGTCTCTTGAACAGCTCCCCACGCTTATAGTGGAGGGATGCTTCCTTTTAAAAGGCTTCTAATTTAGTTGCAGTAAGCTAACAAGCATTTGACCCAACAGTTACCACTGTGTCCAGCTCAGTGTAGTGGTGACTAGACTGTTGATCTCTGGGGTATTTGTACTGTGACTATCAGGCCAGTAGAGAATGTAAAAAGGGCCAGGAACTGTTCTGGGGTGGGGATGTGGGAGAGGGATTCAGCAAAACCTTCTAGCTGGGCTGTATGTTAGACTACAGCTCCATGTGTGTAAATCAGAGTTGAGTCTGCAGCAGCCCTGAACAGCACTAAACCCACATGAAGAATACTGAAGTACAGCAGTGTTAGAATGGCCCAGCATTTCCCGTGGGAGGAAGAAAACCCCAAACCCTCTTAGGCTGCTTATAACTTTGCCAAACTTTAACCTAAAATTACTTGTGGCAGGTTTCAGCCAATCCCTGTTTCTAAGACCAGGGTTAGAGAAGTGAGTATTGCACGTGGGTGATGTGTGAATGGTATTTACTGCAACCACTTGAGGTGGTGGGGAGGGAGACTTGAATACCTGTAAGCGTGAAGTGAGACTGGATGTTACCTGTGTTTTGGGGATGTCATTTTCCACACCCAGGAATGACCTCGGAGTAACTCCACAAACATCAGCATATGACTAGCTTTTGTCGCCTTGGGGTTTATCTAGCAACCCTTGATATATCTGCAGATTGTGGCCCTGGCACTGGAGCTACCAGGGTGGCTTTGAGTTTTATTGTGGTGTTTGTCAAAGTCTCCCCTTCCCCATACCTGTGCTGATCATTCATGCAGCTGTTGTTTGCAGTGCCCAGGGAGAATACCCCCCACATCCCGGCACTAGAGAGAGCTGCATATCCCGTAGTATGCAGGGACAACCTTTGCTAAGAACCTAGCTACTCTTTACAATCCTGCATGCCAAATTTGTCTCCTTTCCCCATTGAACAGTGACAGCCTCACTTGAGCCCTACTTGGCTCGGCACTGAAGCCCTCAGGACACACTCAGGATGGTGCAGAGTTAAATACTGAGGCAGGATTTACATTTGGCTGCAGAAGCAAACTGGGCTGCTGTGTCCCCACCAGAGTTGGTGTGAGCATTTGGGAAAAGGCCAATGAGAACACACTGTACTGCTCACTGACCATCACTGGATCTTTTTTACGAGGGTGGCATCTACTAGATATCCATAAGCTTCTTGTTGGGTTAGGTGAGCCTGTGAATGCTGGCCTGAACTTTTGAGTTACTATGTTATAAGCTGTCTGTTAAAGGAAATAACTCTTTTGTTTCTCCTGTGGCAGCTATGGAGGAATGCTCAGCGCTTACATGAGGATGAAATACCCAAACATTGTGGCTGGAGCATTAGCTGCCAGTGCTCCTCTGTTGTCTGTGGCTGGGCTTGGAGACCCCACCCAGTTCTTCAGAGATGTAACAGCAGTAAGTAGCATCTCTTTTCCGGAACATTATTTTCATCCTTTAAGAAGGCTAGATTTTTTTCCTTTTCCGTGTGTTTAAACAGACATCAGCAGACATTAAACAGATGTCTTCATAGCATCAGTGCTGGGCAGGGAATGCAATTAAATGGGAACCCACAAGGAAAAGCAGCAGCTGCAGATGTGATGGCTGAGCGCTGCCTTAGCTGTGGCAGCTCAGGGCCCAAAGGTGCTGCTCTGAGCAGCACAACGTGATTCCAGCACCTTTAGTACCACTAAGGATTCACTTTCTAGTGAATCCTTAGTGAAGGATTCACCTTCTAGCCCATTTCTAGTGGCCTGACTGTATTACAGCCTGAAAGTTTTCCTTTGTGCCTAGCTGAACCCATTTTGCATAATTTATTCTTCAAATCCTCTCCCAAAATGCTGTATTTTGCATTGATATCAATGATTCACAGCAACTCCTTAGTCACAGTATGGTTGCATTTCAATTAAGAGCTTGGAAATCTTCACTACGCTAATTAAAAATATGCAAGGTCTCCTGGGTTCATTTAAAACCAAAATTTAAATGTGGCTTTCAGAGTTGGAGTACATAGGGCCCATAGGAAGGTGATATTGCTTAGAACTGACATATTTAGTTTATAAGGAAAGAAATGTACTACCTGGTAGTACTGAAATCTTGTGATGGGGTCTGTGTTGTCTTTTTTTGACGTGAATTTCTAGATCTGGTGACACAGGTGGCTTTGCATGAACTACCTGTGTATGAAACTTGTGGTCTTTTTGCTTTTATTTCAATGCAGAGACTTATGGGACAGGTAGCATTGCCATTAAGTGTAAAGAGGAGACTAGCATATGAAAAGAAACACAATAGTGTTTGAAACTCCAAGTGTATAAGAGACTAAAAGACATCTTGTCTTAAAATTATACATTTTAAAACAAAAAATGTAATACCACTTAATCATCTAACAGATGCTGCAGTGGGAATTCTTCCCTGGTTGATTGTAATTCTTTCTCAGAAGCCCTGTTCAGCTGATAGCTCTGTCTTGATTCAGCTGTGAATATGCTGTGAGTCATTACACACCCCTGAAATTAGGGCTTTGACATTTTCATGTGAGAAAACTTTCCAATTAATTTTAAAATATATTCTCTCTGCAGTGGTAAACTGACCTCTGGGCTGAGATCCTAAGCAAGCACTCTGTGTTGTTTCCAAAGTAATTCCTTTCACCTTCAGTGTGTTTGCACCTGAAATCTGAATTCAATTGCTCTTCTTGGTGAGAGAACACCCCTGAGAGCTGTTAATACTAATGAAGGCACAAACCTTTCATGAATCATTGCAGGACCTCTTTCTTCCTGTGAGTCCAGCGTGCTTTGTCTCAAAGCAGCCTCCTCTGTGAATTCTACTGAGCTTTTCCAGCTCAATTCATAAGCCTCTGGCTCACCTGGGAAGTGAGCAAAGGGCTGAAAGCTGATTGTGCATAAGGCATTTGCATAAGACTAGGTTATACATGCCAACTGCCCTGCTTGTGGCTAAGCAGAAAGCCCCTGTGTAAATACTGCACATACAGCCACATGCATGCTTCCTGCGAGGAGACTGCTGCAGGGGCTGTTCAGGCCACTGACTTCAGATCAGTTAGATACCTGAACTAGGTGCGATTGAAAAGAGCAAAGCTGGCAGCTTGGAAGGGGAACAGCTTTCCTTGGAATGCTTTCTGCTTCTGCCAGGGCTGGGCTGAACTGTTCCTGGGTCTGTACAGGTCTGTGGGGGAGAACTGGAATGGGTGGTGGCTCCCTAGTGTGGCAGGCAGTGTGCTGCAGCAGCCCAGCATTGCCTAGCGGGGAGCTCAGCTGTCGTGGCAGCCAGAACAGACCTGCTCCTCTGTCCCAGGCTGATCTGTCCCCACGCTCCAATTAGAGCCATTAGTAGATGAAGATCAATAAGCACATCCAGAAGGAGATCTGGAGCCCCTAAAGGAATGCCCAGGTAAGCTGTGGAAAACCCCATGATTTCTCTAAGCAGAACTATCAGACAAAGGCAGAGTTAGGAAAAAAAGAAAGGTCCCAAATCTATTTTCAGTTGAGGCTGGGCCTTTGTAAGAAAAATGCTTAGCTAGTGATTAGTGGTTACTTAACCATTGTTCTAGCAGGGTAAAGGGACCTTAAGGGAGCCCTATTAATTCTTATTTTGGAAACCACTGATTGCCAGCAGCTCTCAAGCTGTCTTACAAGCTGTCAGAAGAGAAACAGCTTGGGTTGCTAGAGCCTTCAGTGACAGAAACAACTTGTTGCACCAGTATAACCAGCCACAGCTCTTCAAACATACCTTAAAGTGCTTTTTCAGGATAGAGACATGGTCTTCTTGGTCATCTGGCAGACTGAAGATGAAAAGCAGGTCTTGGTTCCTAAACCAGTTCTCTACCCCTCATGCATAACTGATTTCTCCGTGGCTCCTTCTTACAGGCAAAGTGCAGCTGGAAGAACTCTATTGTGTATTTAAAAACAAAAACAAACAAACAAAAAAACCCCAAACTTTTAGGCCTAGCAGCCTCGCACCTTCTTCCCGTGTCCTGGCCAAGGCATGTGTCTCCTTTTGCTGTTTCGTGTTCAGTCTAATGGCTCCGCAAAGTGCAAAGTGTTTCGTCTAACAGCTCATCCTAGTGAGACCTGCTGGAACAGTTGCTGCTTGGTCTGAGCTCTGCAGACTGTTGGCTTCTACTGGGACATGCTGATTGTCTGGAGGACAAGGTAGAAGCACCGCTGTCACTGCTCCTGGAGACATAGATGAGGTTCTGACCAGGGGGCCAGTAACCCCTGTCGTTATCTGGTACTTCTGGCAGTTCTTCCCAGTGCAGCCTCCACACATCTCCTCTGTGCAACCATAATCCCATGTCTTTTCTATTTAGGATTTTCAGAAGTCCAGCCCAGGTTGTGTCACAGCTGTCCGCAAAGCCTTCCAGCAAATTAAGGATCTGTGCCTGAGTGGAGGTAAGGAAAGCTAGCCCTGCAACAGCTTCCCAAGGGCAGCCAGCAGGCTATCCCAGCCATCTGGAAAAAAGTTAATTCAGTTTTACTTCAGCTAGGTCTTCAGTTGATTCAGCTAAATCAATGCAAATGCCCACCTGTCCGCCTCTTTCTGCTTGCATGATAGATTTTTGATTTAATTAACGGTTTTAGTTAGCATTAAAATCAGTAGCCAACACCAAAATGAAAGCATCTATGCATTCAGTGTTAATGAAACCATCTTTTCTGCACCAAAATGCAAGAACACCTGCAGATGCAAACCACCTGCATTTTATGCTGGTAAATCCTCATGTTTCACCAGATACTTGTCCTCAACACTCACACTGTTGAGAACTGTTCGGGTGGGTATGACAGCTGCATGGATCAGCTCACTGGACATATCTGAGAAATATTTAGAAGGCAATCTAGGTCTTGAAGCAGCCATCAGTTTCTTTCATCTCCAACATTGGACAGTTAGGTGAGGCCAAGGACAGAGACTGGTGAAGATCTCTGCAATGTCTCCCAAGTAGGTCAGACCAGGTATCATGGGCCAAGGCAGCATCTCCCGGGAGCTCTGCGTGGTGTTGGAACAACTGTGGTGCCTTCTTGATCTGTCTCACGGCTTGGCTTGGTCTGTGGTGCTGTACGTCAGGATCTGTGTGCCTCCAACAGCTGCTATCGCTGCCTTGCTGCAGGGGCTGGTCCTGGAATTGCCCAGAGGAGCCAGGGATCCAAAACCCCATTTAGCTTTGGGTCACATCAGGAAAAATGTTACTATTAAATAGCCAAGGTCCTCGAGGTCTGCCCGGGGCCATGCTTTCTGCAGCAGGGTGGATAAGGTAGTCGTATTCAAAGCTTAGGCTCTCAAGTGAGTATCAAGAGGCAGGTCCCAGGCCTTGAGTTTCGAAGTGAAGACATCTGGGCTCCAGTGGGCAGCCTGTAGAGTATGATGGGGACAGACAGGAGCTGCAACTCCAGAATGTGGAGAATGAAAGTTAAGGGAGCAGCTTTCCCCAGCAAAAATGCAAAGGAATAAGAGTGCATCTTGAAGAAATCTCCTAAAAGATGGATTTCCTGACTCCTGCAGGACACAGCAGGGCCCAGAGAGGGAGCCTGTGGTGGTGAGGAGGAGGCAGACAGTCAGGGCACGGGCAAGGATGGGCTGGTAGCAAGCTTCTCTTCTCACTGTGCCAGCTGGGACTGCTTCTGCCTTGGTGGGTGCTGATTCCCCTGGGCTCCCCAAGGAGGTGTTGGTGGCTCTGCAAGGGACAGAGTGTGGGCTGTGGGCCATGAGGGCTTGTGAAGCTGCACAGGAAGACTGTGCTTGAACATCCACATGTGTGTAAATTTAGATGTAATGTGTCCTTCCCACTAGTAACCTCATCTGCGTGTTACGGCATCTCCTTCCTTCTGAGTGAAACAAGATGCTGAAGCATGGTATTATTTTCCTCTGTTGAAGTTTGTGTCTTTCATTTTCCTTCATACTGCAGCCTACAATGAAATCAGCAGCAAAATGGCCACGTGCAATAAGATCTCTAACAAGGAGGATGTTTACCAGCTTTTTGGGTTTGCTAGAAATGCCTTCACCATGATGGCCATGATGGACTACCCTTACAAAACCGATTTCATGGGTCACCTCCCTGCCAATCCAGTGAAGGTGAGTACCAGGATGCAGGTGAGAATCACGGTTTCTGTTGTGCACCTTGATGGCCAGAGTGCAGGGAGCTGCACAGCCTGGGACACTGTCAGGCACTCACTATCGGTGATGGTGACGGAGGGAGGTAGTGTTGGATGTTGCAGCCCTTCCACTCTGACAGTAAATCTACACACTTCAAACTTCTCTGTGACAGTGACTGCTGTGTTTGAAATGCACTGCTGTAAGGCTCATCAGGGAGGGTTTGCTGGAGCCACTCCAGCCCTGTTCTGCCTTTACCTTAGACACAAAGTCCTGTGCAGGCTTGTTGACTTCAACTTTTAATCACTAAAAACCTGTAGCTTTTTAAAACAAAAAAAACTGCTTTGTTGTAGCCCACCTCAACACACTTTCATAGATGTATTTTTCTTGATGGGTAAGGATGAATATCTAAAAATCAGGCTCCTTTCTAAGTGTTGCCCAGGAAGATGACATACCTCAGAATATAATGCAGCAAAGTCTGCTGCTGTGAGGACTGGAAAACCTGTCAACTTTCAAGAGAACTGAAGATGGCAAAGTTTGGGAAAGGGGATTGGTTCTCAGGGGGTTACAAAGACTTTTCAGACACCCATTGCTTTGAAAGGTCACAGCTTTGACCCCAGATCACCAGTTGCTGTTGTAATTCTTGGTTTCTTCTGGTGTGCTGTCAGCCTTATGCTGCTGTTCCCTGCTGCACTGCAGCACACCACACCGATGGGACTTTATTTGCCTCTGGCCTTATGGCATTTATGGTTTGAGTCCTACCTGAAGCAAAATGCATACTGTGCAAGAGGTCATACAGGCTATGCTGTACTGGGACTCAGGAGATGCTATCTCTGGCTCTACTGGGCGTCCAGTTCCATTCTAGGATCTGTTTAACAAACTGTAAAATGGAAATAATTATTCTAACCTCCCTTGAGGAGGACATTAAAATGTTCTGATTGTAGGAGGAAGGAGCTTTTGTGTATCACTGTGACCTCTGCACAGCTGCTTAGCTTGGTAAAGGAACTATTTGTCCTGGCCCTGTCTTCTTGTTTTTATGTATTTTGTTGCTAGAAGAGAGGGGGGGGAAAAAAACAAACAAACAAAACCTGTTGCATTAGGGCCTTGGAAAACTGCTGAACCATAAAAAAGTGTAACTGATAATTTTAATGAATCTTCCAGTTTAGCCCTTCTGCAGAGCAGTTAACTATTCTGTCTGCAATTTACCTATAATGTGTCTCATCCAGGTCAGCTGTGAACAAATCCTTGCCCACACAGACCCAATTCAAGGCCTGGCTGCTCTTGTTGGTGAGTTAATATCACCAGTTTGGTCTTTTACTTAACACCCTGTTTTCCAGAAGCACCTGTAAGTAGAGCTGTTTTACTGTTGTGCAGGTTGTGATTCATGGGAGCTGGTATGACTCCAATCTCCCACTAGGATGTTTTACCCTGTATTGGCTTTGTCCATTGTGATGTCCCATGAGTTCATTCTCTCAGCTTTCCAAACTTACTCCTGTCAAGTTTTTCAGCCATTGCAGCCCCTTAGCATGTTGACTGTCCATGAGATGTGGACTTCTAAGGTACTTGATTTTCATACTCTGGCTCAAGCAGTCACTGATTCAATGCACATTCACTGAAGGAAGTTTTCTGGTCTGCTTGCTGAAGACAAGGTTGTCACCACAATGCCATATTGTCTTAATCCAGTGGCAAGACAATTTTAAATACATCGTGTACATCTCTGAGTATTTAATTTGTCAGCCAGCAGTGTTTTAAAGGCAATTATTAGAGATAGAATTCAAAACTTTTTTGAAGACTTCCTCATAAAATATCTCAAGTTGCTCATTAAAAGTGAGTTCTACCTTGGTCATTATTCAGAAAAACAGGTTTTGCATGACAAAAAGTTGATTTAAGGAATTCTTTGGGGTTTATCGCAGCTTAGTAGGATTGGGAACAAATTCTTTTTTTTTTTTTTTTTTTCCCCTCAAATTATGCATGTCACCATGATAGCACCAAGTCAGAAACGTACCGGTTCCAAATCACTGCTAAAGAATATTTTTTGCTGGCAACTAGAAGAGTTGTTAAAATACTAATGTCTTGGCAAACACTGTCAGATCTCTTGACATATTCACATCCTACTTATTTTCTGAGGCAGAGTGGGACTCTTGTTTCTTTGTGATGAACAAGCTGAGGGTAGATTTCTTCCTCCTGCCTGTGGGGGAGCACTTTGTGCCTCTCCTCATCTCACCAGCTGCATTCACTTGGGACAGTTTAATCATACAAGAGGCATGATCCACCAGAGCTTTAGGCAGAGGACTGGCTTTCTTCCATACCTGCCCCTCTGTATCATACAGGAAAACACTGTCTTCTTTCTGCATGTGCTTCAACAACCCACCTCCTGCAAGGTAGAGCGTAGTGTTGTGGGCTGTGATGCTGAACTGGCAGCAGTTAAACGGGGATAACGTTAGCATTGTCCACTGATTGCTTACAGGACAATAGTACTCTGTCTCATTGACGTGAATCCATTCCTCCACCTGCAAAGAATCAGACCAACACTCACCTACTGTATCACACCTTGAGTGGGCATTGCTGGCATGTCATGCTCGCTTGGTAAACCAGTATCTGAGCATCTATTTGAATACCATGGGGGTCAAGGTGCCAGATTTTTGATACACATTTAGCAATCAGAGTCTTAAAAGAAACTGAATAAAATATCAGAATGATATGGCTTTAAAGGAGCTTTCTGCTTGGAAAACCAGAGGAGTGAGTTGAGCAAGGTGCCACAGGGACCTGCTGGAACTGGCATAGCCCAAGTCCTGCCTGCTTTCCAGACTTTTAACACATTACAAAGGAAATCATCTGAAGAGGGCTATAATGTATTGAATTGTTGACAGTAACTGGGTTGGTGTCATCTGGAGGAATTTGATATCAGCTGTGATATGCTATTTCTCTTTATACATTTCTATCCCTTCCTCGGTGAGCAATTAAGTACTCTAAGACACCCTCATTCCTTCAAAAGAAAGTGTAACCATCGTGGTAAAATGGGGCCAGGCCTTGAGTCTTTATACTTTCAAACAGTAATTGCTGAATGATCTTTGAAAATTCAGTTCTCTTGGCTTCAGAGAATGAGTTTCTCCTAGAGTGAGTCTTTCAGTCCGTGTCAGGGCTCTTCCCAGAAGGCTGGGCATTGCTTTCCCTCCTCTTTCAGAGATGGAAAATCCAGGTTTGAAGAGACTTCATTTGCATTCCAGGACTTAAGCCCATCTTTCCTAAAATTGAGGCCAGTGTCCTCACTGCAGTCCATTCCTCATCCTGTCTGCCATTGTTTTACCCCCTTTCAGCTTGAACAAGGAAAATCATGTGGTCAGTGTGGTTGGGGCAGTTACATGACCAGTTTTACCCTTAGTTTTTCCTGTGTTAGCAGGCTGCGCCTCCACCATATGTTTTCTCTATTTAAAAAAAATGCTTTAAACAGCCTTTGTATTCTAGCAAATAGAGTGTGACAACAGGATGGCTTCTAATGCACATGATTGTAATGGCAGGCTCATTTTCTTAAGCTCACTGGCCTGACTTGCAACTGTGCCAGTCCACTAAGAGATCAGAAATGGTGAAGGTACTGGTCAACCTGTTGGAAAAAAACTGGGCCTAGCAATACAGAGACCCCATTTTGGATCAGATTTGAGATTATAAGAGCAAATGACTTACTCCTTTTAGTGTCCTTCCTCCAATGCAAAAGATCTTGTCCTTGACTGTAGCCATCCCGTGATCACAGCGGGTAAAAGCCATGGCACTGTTGCCAATCCAGCGTCGGAGGCGAGGGAGATAGCTGTAAGTGTCTCGTAAGGTTTTACCCCCAGAGAAGCCCCCTAGAAGAAAAGCAGAAGTCTTGAAAACCTATCCATCATCCTCTCTGAAATCCAGCAAATCTTCTGCAAAGATTATCAGAGCTGATTTTTTTCTTTAAAATACTTCAGAAGCTCAGGTTCAAAACTCCACACCATTCTATAGAGCTGATGTGTGAAATTTAAAACCTGAGCTTCTTAGGTATTTTTATTAAAAGACAAAAAAACAAAACCAGTTCCAGCCTTTCTGTAAATAGTTTTCCACAAAAAATTTTTGAATAAATCTCTTGAGGTATTTCAGGTGTAGCCAGGAACAGCTTTAACTAGGGAATCTGTTTCTAGCACACACAGTGACAGAATGGTGGTTTGAAAGAAAAGTGTTCAAAGCTCTTTGAACTTTGCATCTTCAACAGAAGGTCACAGCCAATCTGCCAGTGCTGTTGTCAGCTTTTTCTCCTTATTAGGCACTCACTTGTGTATTTCAGGAGTGTATTATAAAAAGCTCCTTGCAGAAGAAGGGGGCTGCTATGGGAAGGGTAAATGCCTCCAGCTGCCTGCCTGTTGAATTCCAGCCTGCAGAGAGTCTTTGAAAACAAGGAAGATATTTCAGGTTGGCCATAAACCCCAGCTCACCTAGGTATGGACACTTTGTTTGCATGGAGCTTGTGTATAAATCTTGGACTGAAGTAATGCTCTTTTCAGTTTGCTTGGCCAGGGCTGTAGGCTGGCCAAATCAAATTTTCAGTTACCCCACTAGTTAGAAGGAATTGAATGCTATAGGTAGATCAGAACCCAAGGGGTATAGTGTTACCCAGCCAGCCTGGATCACTATGGTATGTTTGCACCTCTGTGAAGCAATTTTATCCTTGCTTTCTGGTAAGAACCAAGACTGGCAGAGGTTAAATGAGCTGCCTGTGGCACCATGGGCCAGCTGAGTCAAAGCAGGGACTTGAACCTGAGTGTTGAGCATTCCCCCAGCTGCACCATTATCCATCTGCACTGCCAGTCCAGGAGCCCTGCTGTCGTTGGGGTACACATCTGGGAAGGACAGCCTGTGTGCTGCTTTCCCTGCCCTTGGGGCCTCCGGCGCACAGCCCATCACAGAGAGCTGCCCTTCATTGTAACTGTGCAATTGTGGTTAAACTGGACTAGATCCATACAGTGATTCCAGCTGGCTGTAACAGTTTATGAAGCAGGGAGCTTACAGTGATGGCAAACTGGACCAGGACTTTTAATTGCAGAGGCAATAACACAAACACCACAGTGCTTTTCCTAGGACAAACCAAAAGTTATCTTTCAAGTCCAAATTAGTAGCTGCAAAAGCTAAAGATCCTACAACAGTTTCCTGCTGCTTTATTGTTAAACATCCTGCACCATCTACCAAAGATCCCCATAAAGACTGAGGATCCCTTGTAGGGCCAGAGCTGTACGGGCTCACAGGGTAAGAGGATAAGAGCCTGCATTATTCTACTTTTTGTACAAATTAACAAATCAGCACAGTAGGGTTAGCCCCATATCTTCCATTTGGATTAATACCAGGGTTTAATCCCACCTTCAACACTATGGCAGCCTGCTTCTGGTTTACCTTTTCAGAAAGCAAAGCTTTGGAATTTAGCCACAGTTGAAAGGTCAAAGGCGAGCAGGGGTGTGGATTGCAAGCAGATGGTGTCACCTTTAATGTCTTGGGAAGACAATAATTCCTGCCATTTAGGAGGAGAGGTAGGCTGTGCTAACACAGCAGGAAAGGGACCCTGGAGCTATGGAAGTTACTGGTGTGGGTGTAGGCTTAGACTGTGACATTAAAATGCTGGCAAAAATTAATGAAACTATATCAAAATATGCTGCTTTCTACTAGTTCTATCACCTGAAATATATAGGATTCCCTTATGGGTTGTGCCTGCATGATCAGCGATAGGCATGGGGAAAGGAGCTGCAAACTCCCACTTGTTGTCAGCGGGCCGGTACAATTCCGTGGTGTGGGTGAGAGTCCCCAGCAGTGTCCCACCACCCACGGCGAAGATGCGATCAGACAGCACATCCACGTGGAAGCGTGTCCGCCTCTCCAGCATGCTGGCAACTTGGAGCCAGGAAGTGTCGCGGGGATCAAAGCGAAAGACCTAGGATCACAGCAGAAGGGTGATGATTAGCAGAAGGCAGGGAGCTGGCTTGTATCTCATGTGGCTTCGAGAACTGATGAGCTCCCTGGACTGAGGGAGTTTTATATTCAGACCTGGAGAGGCTCAACTTCCAGTGCCAGCCAGCTGATACAGCAGTACCTTCCCAGGGGAGCTGGAGGCTCCGTTATGGCCTTTCTCCAGGTCTGTGGGGGTCTAGGAACAAGTTGAGTTCTCTGCTTGAGCAAGCGGAAGGTAAAACACATTGGCTTAGTGAAATACCTTTCTTTCAAACACCAGCTAGCATGTGTCAGCTGAAAACTGTTTCAGTGAGATTTAAACAAACACATCTTGCATCTTTGTTACTGTTGGAGTATGTAGCAGAGGGGAGCTGAATTTTGCCCCCTGCTTTTGCCCAGGAGAAGGCAGGACTTGTTTCCCTCGTCCCTGGTGGAATCCCTACAGGGGCACAGCACCTCTGCTAGGGCTGGGTTTCCACTCACATCTTGTTCAGCAGAAAATACCTGCCCAGGCTTGTTTTGTCAGACCTGGTCAGAAAGCCCGGGTCTGTGAGCAAGGACAGTATCTGCAGAACCCCATGCAGTGAGTGCTGGGCTTGGGCTGTAGCTTCACAGCCAGTGCTGCAGCCCTGCTGGTTTTCAGCATCCTCTGATCCGCTGCTGCTGAGCTGCCTCCTGCCTTCAAGGCAGTGGAAGAAAGTTGCTGTTTGTAGCGGCACTGCTGAACTAAATCCAGTGCTGAAATAAGCCTCCTGGGAGCATGGGAAAATTAAAACATGCTGTTTTTTTCTAGCAGGACCGCTGAGGCCATCTAGGAAACCGTAAAATCCTGCACAAGTCTTTTTACTCTCCAGGCAGAAGAGGAAGGTCCTGGGAGCTAAAGCAGATTTGTCTTTCAAGGGCAAAACTAAGGAAGGAGCAGTTCTCGAGTGAAGTGGTAGGCTTTAACCATGCCCTCTGAGCATGAGTCCAATGGCAGCAACAATGGGGACAGGGCAGCATTCATAAGGCTGTTTGACTGACTGATGTGGACCTGGCTGAACCTGTGCTGCGGAAGTTGTGTTACAGATTAGGATGACAATTTGCAGTCAGAGGAAGGTGGGGCCAGGGCAGGACCTGATTGCTTCCCAGGGAGTTTGGAAGCTGTATTCCCAAGGGCTTTCAGCACTGCAGAGTGCTAAGAAATATGTAGACATGGGAGATCTGTGGTGGGCAAGAGGAATGACTCCCTTCCTCCCCCACCCATTTCTCCAAGGCTACAAGTTTCTTGTGTCTTACCTCATTTAATGGCTGCTTTCCCATGGGATCAAATTTGCACTGTCCCCCGATGACAAAGAGGAAGTCATTGATGATGGCAACACAGTGGTTGTATACTGGCACACAGAGGTCCCCGACCTTGTGCCAGGTGCTGCAGCTCTGGTCTGCAGCCCACATCTCTCTGCACAAACAGTTGTCAGTGGTTCTGCCACCAGTGACGAGCAGCATGGTGGCACCGGAGCGGAGGCTTGTGCTCTGGGTCTGCAGGACCGGCTGAGCGTACAGCTGGGAGTGGTAATTCAGAGCCTCCTGCAGGTACCTGTGGCAGCCTGAATCCAGCCTCATAAGAGGCACTTCCTGGACATATCTCTGCAGGTCCTGTAAAGGAATGAGAGGGAATCTTATGCGCCTTAAAATATCTGCTGCATCTTTCAGCCGTGTGCAGTCGTGCTGCAGCCAGCTCACAGCAGCTCTGAACAGCTCCAGCTCGCAGCATCCCTCGGTGTTGGACCTGTCTAAAACTTCACAAAGGGTTCCTCGGTCCAGTTCTTTCAAGCACTGAGGATCACCCAGGATCTGTTTGTAATGCTGCCCTATGTAGCACATGGCTTTCTGTGTCAGCTCTGATGGGCCAAGTTTTTTAGCAATATTAAGAACATCCATGCAGTTCTCACAGTTCAAGCAACCCTCCAGAAAGTGAAAGCACAGCTTGATCACCTCCCGAACCAGAAGGGTTTCTGCGGCTTTGAAGGTCTCCTCAATATTCTGTAATGAGAGGTCTAGTTTGTTGGAATAAATGAAGTTGAGAACATTCTTCAGCCCAGCAGCACTGACAGCTTTCAGCTGGACGTTACTATCCAGGCTCCCTACTCTTGTCAAGTTTCCAACAAACAGGATCTTGCAGTAATTACTTGCTGATGCTAAAACAATCTTGTGGGCTGGAAAGCAAACCCCTTCTGCCTCCAGTGTCACGTCGCACAGTGTGCTCTGCGAGCGAAGGTTGTTGAGCCCTTCCAGGAGTTTCAGCGGGTAGGTGTCTGACACAAGCCTCGCCGTGCTGGCCGGTGAGCTGAGCAGCATTGCTCCGAAAGGTCTGTAGCCCTGGGACAGCCCCAGGACTCTTCGCTGCACGCACTCAGTGCATCTCCTGCGGCCGAACGAGTGGTTTTATGCTTTGAGGGAGCTGAGGCTGTGCTGCCTACACTGCAGAACCATGCAAAAGGCGGTACCTGCAAGAGCCTCCTTCCCCAGTGGCCTCTGCCCAGCGCTTTGCGGTCTCAGAGTCATGTGGGGCCCTTTGCAAAGGGAGCTGTTGGTGCTGGTTATCAGACAAAGCCCACAGTGTTTGTGGGTTTTGCCTGTGGGCTGTGACACTGGCAGCAGTGGACAGCCACCGGTGTAGCTGCATTCCTCCTTGCTATCTATGGCAACTACCCATCCATACAAAAAGCAGTTAATTCTTCAGCAGCTCCCCAACTATGCTTCACTGGGCTGCCTGGTCAGGTGCTCTTTCATCTGGGCAAGCCTGGACATGCCGTCTTTCCCTTTGTGAACAACAGTCAAACAAAACCCTGTCTGACGGGCCACCCTTGGCCCTCTGACTATATTTGATGCATTCAGGCAACAGCTACTTCCAGGGAGGGGGTGGGAAGGTCTCGGCTGTTGTGTCCCTTTCGGTCTGAATTATTCAGGTAATGTCCTGTACGCAGCCTTTCCAGGGGTGCATTGGGGATTGGGGGCTAGGGCGCTCCCATGGGCTAGTGAGCCATTCACTTCTAGCACGAGGAGAGACAGCAGAGAGCACCTGGGAGCCTCTTCCCATAGATACAGCAGAAGCAAAGGGTATCACACAGCCAGGCTTGAGACCACGTGAAAGTTTTGGCATAAAGTTGGGATCTTAACACTGATGCAGACCCTGCTAGCTCTGCCCCAGCCTTACACACTGGCCCAGATAGGGAAGCTGCCTCTCTGCTTGGTCTTGGCCATGAAGCTTGTGCAGGAGGTGGCGGGTGAGACACAGAGAGGCACTGTGCAGGGTTTGAGTGAGTGGTGGGGTTTTTTGGTGGCAGGGGAGGGGGCTACAGGAGTGGCCCCCTGTGAGAAGCTTCTTGAAGCTCCCCCAGCTCCAAGTCAGCTCCACCTCTGCACCAAAACTGAGCCCATCAGCTGCGCCCCTGGTAACATATTTAAGAAGGGACCTGGGAGGAGGAGTTGGACTTGTGAGGAGGAATTGCGACATCTGTGTGAACAGCAAGATCAGTGGAAGGAAGGAGGAGGAAAGGGGAGGGAGGTGCACTGGTGCAGAGCTCCCCCCCAGCCTGTGGTGAGATGGCAGGGCCACCCCCCTGCTACCTGTGGAGGTCTACAGTGGAGCAGAAGCCAACCTGAAGCCTGTGGAGGAGCCCACATTGGAGTAGGTGATTGCGCCCAAATGAGGCTGGGATCCTGTGGAAAGAAGCAGCCCCCGCTGTTGTAGTTTGGCTCTGGGAGGACTGCAACACGTTGGGGGGGACCCACACTGGAGCAGCTTGGGAAATACTGTGGCCCATGGGAGGGACTCATGTCAGAGAAAGTTTGTGGAGATCAGTCTCCTGTGAGAGGGGGACAATGCTGGGGCAGGGGGAGAATGCCAGAAATTCCACCCCACTCTCTGAGATGGAAGAAGCGGCAGCACTGAGTGCACCCCCCCATTCCCTGCCCCTGCACCGCTGGGGAGAGGAGGTAGAGATACCGGGAGCAGAGCTGAACCCAGAAGGGAGGGGTGGGAGGAAGTGTTTGCAAGATTTGGTAATGCTTCTCACTGTCCTACTCTGTTAAGTGTTGTTGTTAGTGTCTGTATTAAATTTATGTTCCATTTTCTTCCCCTAACAAGTCTTTCTCGTTAGGGGAAGAAAATGGAACATAAATTTAATAAACATAAATGTAACTCCTCCCTGTACTTATCTCGATTCCCAAGCCTTTTGCTTCATTTTCTCCTTTTCAGCGCTAGGGGGCAAGTGGGGAGTGAGCGACTGCATGGTGCTCAGTGGTCTTCTGAGCTCAAACCATGACAGGCACTGACAGGCTGGCTCTGTGCTGTGTTCCCACCTGACAGGGGTGTTCTACAACTCCTCCGGCTCAGCACAGTGTTACGACATATACCAGCTGTACCAGTCCTGTGCTGACCCCACGGGTTGCGGCATCGGCTCAGATGCTGAGGCCTGGGACTACCAGGTAAGGTGTTGGAAACACCAACAGGTTTCGGCTGCTGCCCTGGTTATCCCGCCTGCCCCATGACAGCTCTTGTACCTCTCTCAGGTTTGTACCGAGATCAACTTAACTTTCAACAGCAACAACGTGACTGACATGTTCCCTGAGATGCCCTTCACGGAAGCCATGCGCGAGCAGTACTGCTGGAGCAAATGGCACGTGAGGCCCCGAGCACGATGGCTGCAGACAAACTTCTGGGGAGGAGGTGAGTAGTGCTGGCTGCTCATCCCTTCGCATTACCCTGTAGTTGTCTGCCTGTCCCAACTCTGCCCAGCTGAGCTCCTTGGGGGCAGGCACAGCACGCTAACAAGTCCTGGCAGAAAGTCACAGCCTAATGCTGACTTCAGCCAAACAGACCTTTCTGTACCTCTGAGAAAGAAGTGGAAAATCTAAAAACTGCCAAGATTTTGTTTTATTCCCCTGTTTTCTGTTCTTGGCCATGCTAGCTGCAGTAACCAAACGTTTTTGGGTAAATGGGCAGGAAGGAGGCCTCTCAAATGTCATCTCTCTGAATTTCAGACCTGAAAAGTGCAAGCAACATCATTTTTTCAAATGGAGACTTGGACCCGTGGGCTGGAGGCGGGGTAAGCATGTGCACTCCTGCACACGTTGCACAGAGATCAGCCTTTCCAGGTGATTCACTGCCCCTCTCTCCCTTTCAAAGCAGCACTGGCTATTCATCTTTAGCCCATTTGAGTTTCTACAAGTGACTGTTGTATGCTGAACGATTCAGTAGCCTCAGGACATTAACAGTGGACACACTGAATAGAGTCCATCAGCCAGAAACACTGATGCAGCAAAGGTGGCTTCACTAATGCAGACGCAGCAGGAACCCAACACCCAGGGTCTGAACCACAACCTGTTGTGTTTCTGAGTCAAGACTTGGTCTCAGTGCTGACAGCCGAGCACTCCTTGCTATCTCCAGCCTCAGCATGCTTTATGAGACCAAGCAGCAACTCGAACTGGGGCATATTTTGGCTTAGGTTCAGCAAAGCCTCAGAGTGGTAGCAGAGCTCTAGTTTAAAATTTAAAAACAAGACTGACCCAGAACTGGATGTTGAGTTAGCTGAGCTCCGGAGTTCCTTCTTCTAGGCTGGTTTGGCAATCCCAGCTGCAAGAGGAACAGGCTGTTTAGCATGCGTGGGCCCAAAGGAGCCTGTTAGTTCAAAGTGCCTGTACTGGAACAGGCTGACAGTTTTCATCTTGGGGGAAGCCTTCACTGTTTGAGACAGATGGTTTGGCTCATTAGGACTATTAGCCCCACACACACTATCAGCTGTACCAAGGATCTCTTCCCGTGCTTTTCCTCAGTCCTGCCCAGCTCATCTTCCACTTTTCACCACTGTTGTCCAGTTCTGCCCAGTGACTTGGTGAGAGTTTGTCTCTGCTTCTCCTCCTTCCAGATAAATAGCAGCCTCAGTCCTTCACTAATTGCATTGACCATCAAAGGAGGTGCTCATCACCTAGATCTCCGGTAAGTACTGAACTCTCCTTTGGCTGACAAAATCCTGCTGCACTGGGTGTTTGATCTTACCTAGACACAGTCCAAAGAGCCAGGATACCAGACTGTTGCAGCATAACTGGAAGAGGAATCTTCTTCCCCAGTACAGGGCTCTCGCGGCCTTCGGGGAAAGCGGGCTGTGCAGAACTCGGCACTAAGCTCACCTACTTTCATTAGACCCTGTTCTTGCACAGGGATTGGCATAAGTGTGTGACAGCCTGAAGCTGTAGTCGTGTGAAGTCATCCAGCGTTTCTTGGCATTAGCCATCAGCCTTCAGGTCTGGGGCAGAGGGCAGCAGCCACCAATGCAAGGCAGAGCTCAGGGCTCTCAAGCCTGCCTCCTAACCTCCTGGCGGGTGTGACACTGTATCTTGTTCTCCTGGGCATGAAGTGTGGAACAGATAATCTCTGTCCTTCAGTTCCCTGGCTTGTCCTTTCCTGTGCAAGAGGCAAGAGCTGCTGCTCACTCACCTTGCTCTGCTTTCTCTAGAGGACGCAATCCAGCTGACCCCCCGTCCGTCACAGAGGCGCGCAAGCTCGAAGCAAGCATCCTCGCTGGGTGGGTGAAAGCTGCAAGGCTGGAGGGAGCACAGGAGAAGCGCCCGGGAGCTCCAGTGGGCAGATGGCCCTGACTCCATCCCCGCAGCCTCCAGCAGGGCTGGGAGGCTGCCGAGCTGGGCCTGTGCTGTTTGGAAAAGTGTTCTCTCCTCGGCCCTGAGAGGGGAAATTCACCTGTCTGAAGTGTCCCACCTGCCCCTAATCAAGCATCCAAATGAACGCAAAAGACCACTGACTGAAGCCAAAGGCACACTGTGTGGGTTTCATGCTCACCTCCTTGGAATGAGAAGGCATTATAAATGGTGGAAATAATAAAAGCTTGCTTGAAGGCTTAAGAATCATCACTGTTCTGAACAGTATGGTTGCAGGGAGCACCTGAAGGTTGAAGCTAGATTATTTTTAGACAAAAAATAAACACTAGATGCCTGGAGGAGAAGCAGAGGTCTGGTCATTACTTACACAGTTTCACAGGGGAGTCCACTAGTGACCAGTTATGTCAGCCTCATCCAGTACTGTGGGTTTGGGTTTTTTGTTAGTTTTTGGTTTTAACTTGCTCAAGAGATGTCCAGTTGGTGACCTGGAGTTTTACACAAAATAATCCCGGTATGTACTGTTGTCACTCAAGAGCTGCTTATTAGTGACCAGTAAAGCACACTTCCACTTGAGTTGTAATTTATTTTAAAAAGATCTGAAGACAAGTTTATTAAAGTGTGTGATATAATTTCATGACTTGATAGTATAACCAAAGAAGATAAAAAAGGATACTTCTCACCTTTCCAGGCAGAGTAAACCCATCTTTGCACAGAGACAGGTGGATTCTTACCTACTGGAATTACTATGCACCAATAAATACTAGCATAATTGCAAAAATATTAAATCCTGGTAATTAATTGGATGCCTCTGTTGGTCCATTTACAATGATTTTATGAGTTAGTAGAGAAACCTCCCAGGTCCAAGGTTTACATTACGTATACAGGCAAAGTCACAGCATTGCTTCAGCTTCTGTTGCACTGCTCAAACACAAGGCTTTCTGTTAAGCACTTGCACTGCTGGGTCCTCCCTGCCATCACTGTACCACTGGTTCCCACAGCTATGCTGTCAGTCACTCATGTTATCTCACAGTCTTCAGGTGCTGACAAAAGGGGGTTTTGCATATGACCTGATTACCTATTCCCTGTTCTTGAGTACAAAAGGGCCAAAGCTTCTGCTCCCCACCCTGCCACTGATGAGTGCAGGGAAGAGCAGCAACAGATGAAGTCCATTTATCAGGTCTTTCAGATATGTACAAATGAAGGACAACGTATAGAAGACCTGATTAGTCAAACTGCAGCCCCCAAAGAAAAATCCATTCAGACTGTTAGGGGACCTACATCCTCAAGAAGACCTGTATCTTCTCCATTAGTGCTGATGAAAACCTCTACACCTCTGCTAAGAGCTGGCACTATCCCTTTTGCTCATACTGAAGTCAGGCTGAAACCATACGGTTTATACAACACAGCCACCTCCAGCCTCACTGACATGCTAGAATCCGGTATTCACCCTCCATGCTTACAGACCTACCCCGACTTTTCTGAATTTAGATTTGCTGTACCCCAGCGTTCAGTTATTCTGGACTAGCATCACATTAAAAAAAGCAGACAGTGGTGGATGTGTCTGCAGACAAGAGGGTTACATCTTGCTTATACTACCCTTGTAACAGCATCCTTCACTCCCAGCGAGTAGGCACCCCAATTAAACCAACCCAGCAGTGCAATAATGCAGTCAAGGTCAATATGAGTCTTTTGGAAAGTAATTTGCAAGTTACAGCCTTTGCCAGTGGCTTGTTTTATGCCTTTGAGCGAACGGAGATCCCCATGTCTTTTGCCCTTCCAGAAGGATAAGTTCTTTAATCCTCTTACAATGGACTATACTGATCTCTTATTTTCCACTTGCAGATAGTACCTGCCCCAAAGGAATCCACATAGTGCAAGGGCCACAAATGGTTTGATTTACATGGAAGGATGAACTGGAGGCTTTCAAATGCTATGGCAAAGGGATAAACGAGATATACATGGACTTGCATGCAGATGATCAATGAGCAGCACTAAAAATAGTTACAAAACCAGGCTTCAGAAACTGTGGCAGAAGTCTGAAGCCTGTGCCACAAATGTCCATAACGTTTTGAAGCCTAAGGCAAGGAAGAATGGGACCTAAGTGGAACCCCCTGGTTGTGTAGTGCTCTCTGAGCTGAAAGGGAGAGCCAACCAGCAGCAGTCACCACTCTTTCACACTCCAGGAACACTGCTTGTGGCTGAGCTTCAGGGAACACAAAAGGAAAAGGGAGTGCAAGCAGAGAGTAAGTGACTCAGAGCACCGTCCACAGGTGGAGCCCCCATGCTGGTTTAAGACCTGCACAAGTGGGGTTGTTGAGAAAAGGCTTATTCATTCTATCATCACATATCAGCATGAGGAATATGACCAAGATGAAAACATTGCCCAAAACGGTAAGAAGTGTCTCTCTGGTCACATGCCTTTAAGTCAGAGCTTGAAAACTGTTCATGCAAATCAGCAGGTTTTCCTGGAAAGCACAAGACATCCATTTCTAAAGAACTCGGGGTTGATTTTTTTACAGAAGCTGAGGCCTCCAGACTTTGACAATAAGTTCTAGCAATACTTGAGAGACAAAAACCCTCAAGCTATTCTTCCCAAATCCAAAGTCAGAAAACTCTTAACCCTTCTATTGAAGCAACAAGCTTGTCAGACAGCATCATGAAGCTTCTCTGACATGTCAGTTTTACTGGTCTTGTTAAATATACTGAGTGTGGCACTGGAAATCAAGAGCTGAATTGCCTGTAGGGTTATTTCTAGCAGAACACAGCTGAGGAAAGGCTGTCTGTAACGGGCATGAGATTCACAAAAATGCATAAACATGTTAGTTGCAAAAACCTATCCTGTCTGCATCCCTCCTTACTGCAATGTCACCCTGGTACAGAATCAGGAACAAAGTGGATTCTTTGCCTAGTATTTGGAGGAATACATATAGCTTTATCTGAGCTTGGCATGTAAAGTTGAAAATCTTGTTAACTGAAAGCCATGCGAAACAGAAGGTCCCCTGTCAGCCAATACCTTGAACATAGCAAAACTGCCAGCTTCTAAGATCTGTAGTGAGACCTCAGTTCTCAAAAGGTCCAGCGATTAGATGCTAACTGTGGCCCCATCCATCTATTCAAGTTTCTTTGAGCAAAGAGGTATGTATTTTTTTCTGAGTTGTGGCTTAAAGCCCAGAGTGTGAGACTTCAAAGTCCTACAGCTGTGCAGCCCTCGTGGCTGTGTCCATACCTATTTCTGTTTCTCAGTGGAAGCATAAGTGAACAGTATAGCTTGGTGGGCCTGGGGTTTTTTTGCTTTATTTTATTTGGTCAAGGCACTCAAGCTCTTGGAGAGAAACCAGGGAAGCTCTTTGTGCAAAAGTACAGAATCACTGGCTGAAGAGATGGCCCTTCCACAACGTTCAACTTAAGCATCCAAAGTGTACCGGTATGTTGAAACATCAAAATAGATTACAGACCCTGCAATTAAGGCTTTGATTCAAAGAACCACAGTGTACGCGAAAGAAAACTTTTCAACGACATACAAAGCTTCTGTTCTGCTGGGGGAGCACACAGTGGAATTGAGATGGACAGTAAAGCTCAGAGACTAATCTGACACAACATATTATGTTAAGGAAGTAAAAATAAATAAACAATTAAAGTGACCTTTGTAAAAGAACAGAAGCAGACGAACTTTTATCAGATTATTTAGGTTTGTGCCATTTCACATGTGATACAGGAGTCTGAAACAAGCATTTGTTCTCAAAGGTAGAGAGAGATGAACAATGTTAACTTCAGATTTAAAGGACAGGAACAGTAAAGCCACACTTTGCAAAGATTCAGTTTCCCGTGAAGAATTAGGTAGAAAAGAAATTAGTTGGACCAAGAGGTCAAGACAAGAAATGTGTTTGGGAAAGCGACGATTTATTCTTCTCTCCTTCCTCTGACTCACTGTGAAGTGGATTATTACTCTCAAGCCAATCATAAAGCAAAAAAAATATAACACAGACTCCCACAGTCCCACTGGTAACACCAATTACATTAAGACTAGTATAAGACTTCAACAACAGAAGATTTTTGGTCAGCATTTATAAGTTTTCCACTTTCTAAGAAATCTGTTTCCTCGGTAGGGCTGCTGTATAGGTGAGATGCCAAACTCTGGAAGTTTTACAGTCCATAACAAAGTCATTAATTAGGGGTTCAATACTAGCTTCAATTGAAGGCACAAGGCCAAAGCAACACAAGTCAGTAGGGCCTGGGTAGTATCACTAAATTTATTTTTTTTTCTTTCTTTTTTTTTTTAATCTCCAGTTTTAAGCCTTCAGCTTTTAGCTAAAGCTCGGCTTCTCAGAAATATGAACCTGCTACACAAACAAAAACACAGAAGGTGTTTCCTCCCACATTTCAACAGCATTTTCCTTTGCTGTTATGTCAAAGAAAACAAAATCTTGGGAGCAAATCAGTTGTGCAGAAAAAGGATTCCACTGCACACCTAAGTGAGAAACTACTTCTCAGGGTTACTGGTGGCATGTGAACTAAAGGAACATTCTAATTCTGCACAAACTTGACATGACTTGAAAATCCCAGGGTTGCTTTGATGACAGAAAAAGGTATAAATAATTTGTAAAATGTCTTAATTTCCATAAGCCATCATTAATACATGGAATGATAAATATGGTCCCACGGGTAATTTCTGACTCCAGCAAACAGAATTGATCAGCATAAAACAAATAAAGATGCCTCTTACTTTACAAATACTATAAAATACACATATGCCCCTCAGCCACTGAAAAATCAGCCATTACAGTCAGATTTAATTAGTTTCACTTAGAAGTCCTAGATTTAGAGGGGACTGTACCTCACTGTCACCACCACTGCCTGCATACTTCCTGCCACTCCCATTAATGTGAGGGGAAAGGACATTTTGGTGAGAACAACCTCTTTAAGAAATATGAACAAGCACATTTTTGAGAACTTATCTGTGAATACAGGACTATCCACGTATCTACAAAACCAAAAGGAAAAGCATTATAGAAATCTGATTTCCAAATTCATGGTTTAAATAGTTATTTGCACATACAGAAATGAAAGATCCCAGGGCTCCCACAAGATACTTAAAAAGCCTGGGTCTGCGTTGTCTTCAAGGAACTGAACAGATTTCACTAATTCTATTGGGACAAGTAATTGTTGTAATACATTTAGACCGTTTGCTTTAATACTACCAATGAAAATACTTCTATCCAAAGTACTGCTAAGGAAAAAGAAAGATTGAGAATTTCTCCGCAGTCCAAAAAATTATGAAGTTTGCTGTTCAGTTGTAAGCTTGTTTTGAGTCAAACACACACCTTACAATGCGATATCTGGACAGGAAGGGACAGAAGGAAGCTAACTTAGAATTATACCTAATGTGCTCACAAGCTTTCCCAGTGCCCAACCTTAGAAAGCAGCTTTCAGTCAGAATACCTGAGTCTAACTGATGCAAATAATATATAAAATGCATGTGTAGTTTCACTTGTGTTTCACATTATCTCCTGCATTCCTGCAGACAAGTTAAAAAACTGAAATACCTCTACAAAATTATATACCACTTTGAGCCAAACCAGCAGCAAATTCTCTTCCATCATTCATTTCAGCCACAGCTTGAACAGATCATTCAAAGTGCTCTATAAAACTAAAACACTGTACAATAGATGCTTTGCTGCCACTTCCTTCTTCTAATGTGATGCAGCATAGATTGGTAGTTTGGAATGAGATCAGAGTATCAGTAGCAATTCTGTCGGCTTTGCTTCTACCTGGGACAATGTTACAGTTCTTTGTTTATT